TTTTTATTTCCCTCATTTTTGTTGGTTTAATCAAATTAATTCCAGTTTTTCCTTTGTGTGTGTGGAAGTGCTACACTTTCCATTTCCATTCATAGTTTCTTTCCCTTTCTTTGTGTTTATAATCTGACACATATTTCTATATTTTTACCTGAAAACAGGATACTAAGCATCTCCCTCACCACCACAGGCTCTAATTCCCTTTCCCAAGCCCTCTCCCTAGAAAGACTAGCCCTTTAGAACACCTTCACTTCCCTTCCTCTCCCCCTCAGGTGAGACTTCTGGAGCATTTCTATTAACCTGAGCTCCCTTCCCAGGACCTAATTCCTGAGGAATGCAGACAGAGTTGAGTACTCGTGGTTGTAGGTGGTGATTAGACTTTTCCTTGCAGGATGCTCAATCTGTTTCAAGACTCCTATTTACCATTTAGATCAGGGGTGGACACAGTATAGCTAGAGGCCAAAATTCTGCCCAGCATCTGTTTTTGTACGGCCTTCAAGCTAAGAATGGTTCTTTTATTTTCCAGTGGACTGAAAAACATCGAAAGAAGAATATTTCATGATGTATGAAAACTATGAGAAATTCAAATTGCAGTGTCCATTGATAAAGTCTTACTGGCACCCCACCACACCTTCTCGCTTCTACCTTGTCTACGGCTGCTTTTGTGCCCCAGTGTCAGAGTTGAGCAGTTGTGACAGAGACCTAGGAGGTACTGGGTACCATAACTCTGGGACGACTCCACAGCATCTCACCCAGCCATATGTTTTATTTATTCATTTTTATTACCAGTGCATAGGCACCATGTCAAAACAGGAAAAGTGGACTTCGAATGTCACACTTTTAATGCTCAGTGAGGTGTGGATTATTGTTTTATCGAATTACATGGCAAAGCTCTGTGTTCGTTATTGGCTGTATTAATAAAATACAACATACACTGACATCACAATATTCCCAGCTCACAGAAAAAAAATGAGACAATTTCAAGCAGTACATCTCATCACAGCAGAATTTCTTCACAAAACAAAACAAAAAGAGAGAGAGAGAGAGAATAGGCTACAATCAAAGTAAGTTTGCAAGTGGTTCATTTGTTAGCCAAGCAAGGAAAGCCATTTACTGGTGGTAAGTTAATTAAATAGTGTTTGATTGCAGCAGCTAAAAAAAGCATCTAGAGAAAACAAGCTTGTTAAAGATGATTAGATTTGGGGCAAGGCCAATTGCTTGGATGTGGCCCACGGGCCACAGACACTGTAGGTGACACCAATGAGTGAAGCTACATCTGTAGGGGAGTCTGACCCATTCTCCAGTGTCAGTAAGTGAAGCAGAGCAAAGAAGTAAGAGAAAACCCGGGGAGGGCTAAGAGCTGGCCTCCTTATGTGCCATGCACTGTCCTCAGCATTTTGTATTTATTTCACTGTTACGTTCTTTCTAGAACTTACTACTACCTGAAAGCATCTAAGGTACTGTTCCTTGTCAGCCTCCCCCATGAGAACAAGAACTCTGTCTGCCTTGCTATATCCCCAGCACACACAGGAGCTAAGTAAACATCTGGATATATGAATGAATAATGTCTTTTAGGCAATGGGCTCAGAAGGACTATATGCCTTAAGTCTGTCCAGATGGAAAGTGTCCATTCAACACATATCCATATAGGGCTGGGCCTTCCTTGTTTATAAATGGAGGATGTCTTAGAGGCCCAAGCTGAGCTCCCACCCCTTGGCGCAGTGCTGAGAAATTCCCTGGATCTGCCCACATTTCCACACTAGGAGGTGGTCAGGCTGGGACTGAAGCCCAGGCCTGCACGTTTGACCAGTCTGCCACATGGCAAAGACTGTGGCCAACCAAGTGATCTGAAAATCTCTGTGTACTCTGGGTCCTGCTCAAGGCAAATGGGGCTGCCCGTTGGAGTAAGTCTGGCCTTCTACTCGTGAGCTGTACTAGGAAATCTCCTTCCTGCTTCCCCTGAGTTAGACTCAACTCTTACATATGAAGCCACTTCACCTGTGAGGTGGAGACTGTTTGTTCCTCAAATGAATGAGGCTGTTGAAATAAAATGGCTCCCCAAGGCATACAGTTGTTACATGGCACAGCTAAGGGCTTGAGCCCAGTCTATGTGATCCCAAGTTCAATGCTTATCAACCTGAGTAGGAAGAAAAGTCTCCTGCCAAGGATACTCCAGCTTCTTGAGAGCATGCCAGCCTCTCAACTCACTGGGCAAGAATCTACCAGACATGCTGGAAAGATATCGGCTCAGAGGCCAGTCAGTGCTGGGTTCAAATCCTGACTTGACCATCCTGTGACCTCGGGTAGGTTGCTTCACATCTCTTGAGCTGGTTTCCAGTGTGGCTCCCTTTGCAGAGGGGCCCTGATGGCCCGAGTTCAGAGTAGGAATAAAACTAGCTTTTTTTTTTTTGAGTAATTTTGTGCTGTTTGAATTATTTTTTACCATGCACATATATTACTTTTCCCAAATATTTACATATAATTTTAGGAGGAAGAAAGTGATCTATTTAATAATTTCAAAAAAAGTACATAGGAAAAGTAGTAACCTCCTCATTGAATTTTTATAAGGATTCAAAACAACGTATGCAACTAGTAATGGCACACAGTAGGTGCGGAGTAAATAGAGTAGGGATGGGGTGGAGGGAGGCAGGAGGCAGGTGTATTCCTGCCCCTGGGCCCAGAAGGGAATCTGTGGCACAGGACAGGTGTCCCTTCAGCTAGGGCCTTAAGCGGTTGGTAGGGGGACCCTGGGTACCGTGCCCTTTCCTACCTTACAGGATCCCAGTCTCAGGACTCCTCCACACACCTCCACAGCCCTGTCTGAAGCAGTCCCTGGTTGAAGGGAGCCTTTCTGCTCAGGATGTCTAGGTGGGATCTGTCGACTGCAAGTCTGGGGCTCTTGGGCCTCCACTTCTGGCCTCCCTGGACTGAGGAGGAAAGGGCCGGTGGCCCCAGGGATGCCCTAGATTGGTGGTATGGTTTGGGTCAGCACATCTCCTTGGCTCTCCCCACTGCCCTTAGGAGGCAAGAGGCATTCGATAGTATGTTTACTGGCTCCTCACAAACCCACACTCCTCATTCTTGAAGGAAGTAATTGCTGCTCCACCACCAACAGGCCTGTGTGGGGCAATTAGACCTGTGAACTCATCAAGTGGGACATTACTCCATGACAGATATTTCACCAGAGAATAATTATGCTTCATAATACTGCTAATAAATCAAGCGAGACAAACAAGTGACGTGCACTTTATCACCTTCGTCTTCAATCAGCATCTCAGGGCTGGCCCCCGGCTGATGGAGCCTTTGAGTGGCCCCCATGATTGGCCCATAAGCCCTCCTGGCAGCCCTGGGAGTTTAGGCTGCTGCTCTGCAGAGGAGGAAGCCAACATTCACAGATGGACAGACAGCAAACAGCAACGGGGGCGGGGGGGACGGGACGACACAGACATGGCTCCAGTTCCAGGACTCCAGCCGCAGCGCAGGGTGACCAAGCCTGTCCAGCTGAGCGGGCAAGGTTGGCCTCAAAGTGGAAGGCCTGAGATTACAGAGCTGAGGATCCTGAGTTTTGGATGGACTGTGAGGGGGTAAGTAAGAAACTTCTACTGATTCCCCCTCAGAGGGCAGGTCTAGATACAGTCAGGAGAGGAAGGGAATCGGGCCTGAGCACCAGGAAGAATCCTGAGACAAGGAGGAGGAGAGTGGGAGTTCCTGCAGTGACAGAGTTCCAGAGAAGAAACATGGGGATCTGAGAGAGGGGAAGGAGACAGGGTGGGCGGTGGCAGTGGAAATCCCGACCCTGGCTGGTACCCAAGGCCCTGACACTTTCTCCTGAGTGCCTGCTCGGTAAGGGTCAGACCCCATGCTGGAGCCTATGCTGACTTGGGCAGGGTGCTGCACCGGGAGGGGTAACCCTCATCCTGCTGTCTAAGGAACAGAACCGCAGTCCTGCTGAGGACCTCAGGGCAGACCCCACTGGAACCTGAGCTTCCCAACACTGAGGTCTTAGCACAGCCATGCTCACCCGGCTCAGAGACGAGTCCCAAGACCACTCACAGCCACCCCTGCCCTGCAGGGGCCCACATCAGGGAGTGAGGTTTGGACAGACGTTTGGACATTCTCCACCCATCTCTACAAGGCCCAGGAGGCAGGGATTCCCACTGAGACCTACAGTGATAAGACAAAGGAGTGGGGGCACCTGACAGAAGGTAATCCCAGGACTTCAGGACCCCTTTAGGCTCTGGGCTACCGCAACTGCCCACTCTCATGAAAGGCCTGTGAACCAGACTGGCTCACCCATGTCTAAAGACCTGCATCTGGTGATGATGCCAGGCACCCGAGGAAGCCAGCAGCCTGGCCCCTCCCACTCTGTCACCTTCCTGTACCTTCCCACCTCTTGCCCTCTGGCACCCTGCCACCATCACTCCCCACTTCCCCCACCCCACAGGGTGAGGACACGCTTGGCCAGGCCTGCCCTGCATTGACCAGCTATGCTCCCTCTGTCGATATGACTGGCATATCTGTTGATATGACCCAGCAGCCACCCTGCCTAATGGAGGCTCAGCCCCCACTGAGGCCACGAGAGCGAGGGCCTGCTCATCAGGCTGTGAGGCGCAAGGCCCGGCCTCTTATCTGAAGCTCAAGGAGGCCACTGATACTGCTGGCTTCTGGCCCAGGTGAAATGCTGCTGTCTGAAACCAGTTTGTGTGAGGGACCAGGGCTGCTCTGCCCTACACAGGCCACCTCCACCACCAGAGTAGAGGGCAGGGATGGGAGCAGGTGCAGTGGGGCTCCCCTGCCTTGGTTCAGGCCCCGCTCTGTGACTGAGGGTTAGCAGAACTCAGGCCACTCAGCCACTCTGGGCCTCAGTTTCCTTGTTCTAAAATGTCAGAAGTTGGGACCAGAAGCCTCTGAGGTCTTCCTGGTTCTTATCACGGACTCCAACTGTGTCCATCCCAGCTACCAGAGCCCGACAAGGAAGGATGATGGGTGGAGGGACTGCTTACCCGTTCTACAAGGCCATGTTTGTGCTTGAGCTTATACACTTTCAGCCTGGGCAAGAAGCTCTCAGCATAGTCCTTGTCCTCCAGCCCATGGAGCAGGACACCATGGAAGGCCAGTCGGCACATGTTGGCATGAATGTCCGCATCTAGCCTGGAGCCAATCACCAGGCACAGCCGAGGGCAGGTGACAGGCTTCTCAAATTCCACGAGGGCCCACTGCTGCCGAGGGCAGCGGCCTTCTGTAGCCTGGCCCGTCTTCTTGTTAGCCTCATCACTGTCTGTCGCCACTGGTGCCAAATCCTTATCTAGGTACTGCTCCTGGAAGAGGTATTCTCGAGAGAAGTCGAAGGAGTCCAGCACAGGCTCATGGTCAAAGCTATCGGGGGCAGGGCTGAAGAACATCAACCGGCCCATGACTGTCTCATGGCCCACCGTGATGTGGAACTTGGCTTTGGTCTGCAGGGGCCCCCGGAAATACGGGATCTTCTCCACAGAGATGATGGCTGCGTGGACAGTGTGCAGGGACTCAGGGGCACACACCAGGCCACGCTCCAGTAGCTTGGGGTCAAACTGGGTGACGCAGATGCCCAGTCGGTCTCCCTGCATGGCTGAGGTGACAGGCATGTGAAACATCTGCATGGACTTCACCTTCTTCACCACCTGGTGGGTAGCAAAAGAGAAAGCTCATGAAACGAAGAGCCTTGAGGCTGGGGGGAAGGGCTCCAGCTGGAGAAGTCCCTATCCCAGTACTGCCAATACTCACTTGGCCCCTGGCAAGGCAACCCAGAGGAGCTCTGGGGCGCTCAGACTCCCCTTGGCCAGAGTAAGCTCCACCCTGCAAACACGAGGCCCACAGGGCACCCTGGTCCAGGATGTGGGCGGTGGTCACGGCAGCCAAATCCTGAGCTACCTTGGCTCCCTCCATCCTAGTCGCTACTCCACCCCAGACTCCATTCCAGCACTTTCTTGCCTTGAGCCCTCTGTAGAGGCTTGTCACCATACGCAAGATGGCTCCCTAGGTCCTCAGACTGCCAAGCTATGGCCATCTGTCCTTGAAAGCCCAGGCCAAACCCCACTGCTCTAGAAAGTCTACCCTGACCCCCAGTGGGCAGGATCTGTCCCTCTCTCTTTGGTGCTACCCCAGCCCTTCTGAGTCATACACAGCCTGCTCTGCTGTCACTGCCTATTCTGCACCAATCTGCCTGCTAGCCTGTGGGCTTGGGCTTCTCCAGGGCAGGTCACACTGAGGGACTACAGTGTGCCAGGGACTGTTCTGGGGGTAGGAATAGAGTGAGAAACGGCAACAAAACTACAAATACATTTAACATTAACTAAGTTTGTACTGAGGGAATTAATATGTAAGACTTTGCGTATAAATACATAACATAATCATATACATTATTATATATAAAGTACTATATTACATGTAATATGTATACCGTATATAACATATAGAGAAGGCCTAGGGTGTGGGGGGAGGTCTGGCTTTTTAGAGCGGTGGTCAGGGAAGGCTTCTCTCGAGGTGATGACTCAGCTAAGACCTAATTATAAGAAGTTATGTGAAGGTCCAGAAAAAGATAGTTCTGAACAGGGGAGCTAATGAATGTATAGGCCGAGGATGGAGGCTCCGTGGGTCTGAGAAATAAACAAAGAGGTGGGAGGGCTGCAGCAGGGAGGGCAGGGAGGAGAGGGCAGGCTGGAAGTCGCAGAGGAGTTTAGGCAAAGGAGTAACCGGATCTTATCTCTGTTTGGAAACCACCACACCAACTACTACACCAGGCAGATTTCTGTACCCACAGTTTGTAAATCAGGAACAGACATAGGAAAGGCTCTAATAAACGTTCACGAAATCAATGAACATTCCTACTAAGATCCACTGTCGGAGAGGAGATGAGATCACGCTTAGCGCAGCAAAGAAATGGGTAATGTATTTCAGAAAACCTCATAAAAATTTGTTAAGTTAAAGACACTTTGGCCTTCAGGTTGCAAGCATCCCCATCTGCAAAGCCCGGGTGTGGGGAGCACTCGTTTTCTCCCTGGATAAAGAGAGAATGCTGAGCGGCTCCGGGTGCAGGAGGCCAGGCCCTTTCTTGGAGAGCCATAATACTCAAGTGTTTGTTTAAAGATCATTAACTACCTAACCAAGAGGTCAAGGGGCAGAGAAAGTGAGAAGTGCGGTGTCAAAAGCCACAGCCAAGATCAATCAAAGAGAAACATAAAACATCTCTGAAATGGTCTACAAGGGCAATGGGAAACTAAGATTTTCAGGAATGCACCTCAGAGTAACTGGAGAATATTATCTTACACTAAGCGTCTGCCCAGCGAGGCCGGCCCCGAATCACAGCTCTTCCCCCCGAGGCCTGTAGCCGCCGGGTGAGCTGTCCTCTGGCCCCCACCCCACCAATCTCCCTTCTCTAGGCCAGCTTTCTAAAACACATGTCGGATGATGCAATTCCTTGGCACTGACTTCTACACGGGCTCCCCTCTTGCACATCACCACTTTCAAACCTTTTGGGTGTAGCTGTTGTGAGCAGGAAGATCCTTTGGTCATGTGAAATTCTATGGGGAATCAGCCCGCTGGCCGCCACCTCCCCACCCCCACACTGGGTAAGCTGCTCAGGGAGGGTAGGGGCTCTTGCACCTCCTGACATCCCCTCTGCTGCCCCACCAAAGACTTCTGCTTGCCTGGCTTCTCCACATGGCCTTCCCTGGAGCCTCCCACCACATGGCCTGCCCCAACACGTGAAGCCACAACCAGGGGAAGCTTGAACAATTCCCTACATACAGAACCACATATTTGTTTTGCCTGTGAGGACCCTTCTCCCTGGGACTTCTTCCACCTAAAATTCCTGTTCATGTCAGAGGACCTCCTGAAATGGCTTCCCTGCTCACTCCAGACCGAGCTGGTTACTCTCCTTGGGTTGCTCTGAACCTGACTTCCTATGTTGCCATTGCTGCTTTATGGTTCTGCCAGTCTGTGCCTCCTTGTACCTACTGAGTTAAATTACGATAGGGTAAATATCCATGGCCCCATCATTCACCCTGAGAACTAAAACATTACCAATAACTTCACTCTCCTTCTGTGCTCCTTCCCCACCTAGTGCTCCTGCCTGCCCCCCAGCTGGAGGCAACCACTCTCTTGAATTTGGTGTGTGGCATTCCTTTCTTTTTATATATATACGTGTACATGGTTGTGCGGAGGCTCACTACATATGTAGTACATATGCCTAACCAATACTTTGTTTTCTGAGTGTTTGAACTTTAGAGTTCTTGCCCGTGCTGCCTACACCTGCAGCTCATTTGTTGCTGATGCTGTATGTCGCATGGCACACACAGACCCCCATTCAGCCTCCTACTGATGCGCACATGGGTCATTTCCAATTTTTCCCTGGAAAATGATGCAATGAATTCCCTCTCAAACAAGACTCCCGCCTGATGCACAGTGCAGGGAGGGTTCTGGAAGACGCGGGCCCTGGACCAGAACTGCGGGGTCAGGAGCAAGTGAGGGCTCATGTCTGCTAGATAAATAAAGTACCAATGTACGCTTCCACCCACAGGCCAGAGACTCTCAGTGGATCCGGTTCTTCTCCAGTGTCTGGCATGGCCAGATTTCTTAATTTTTGCCTATCAAACTTGTGTATTTCCCCTTTTAAATCCAGGTTCCGGGGCACCTGGGTGGCTCAGTCGTTAAGCGTCTGCCTTCGGCTCAGGTCATGATCCCAGGGTCCTGGGATCAAGCCCCGCATCTGGCTCCCTGCTCAGCGGGAGGCCTGCTTCTCCCTCTCCCACTCCCCCTGCTTGTGTTCCCTCTCTCTATCAAATAAATAAATAAAATCTAAAAAAAAAAATCAATCAATCAATCAATCAATCCAGGTTCCTACTGCTGTACCTTGGTGCCTAGTGCAGAGGCTGGCTGACAGACGCTGTTTATGGCAGACCCAGCTAAACATCCAGCCCATCCAAAGAGAATGGCTGCATCTGATTCTGGAAGAGAAATGCCCCCCATAGCAAAGAAAGCATGGGGTGGAGATTCCGGAGTGGCTGGGGCCTGAGCGAGCTCCTGGTGTTCAGGATGCTCCCTGGGACAGAGGCACAGGGCCCTCACCACCCTGACGGCCCCCACCCCCCACCATCAAGCCCATCTCCAAGCAGGAAGCATGTTCCTTTCAACGGGGCTTGTGTTCTTAGGACTGAAATAATAAAGAATGCTTTAAGAGGGCACTGTGAAGAGCAGAAAGACAAATGACTGTGCAAATCAAGATTTCAAGGGCCAGACAGGAAATTGTGAAACAGATAAGACAGGGACAGGGTGGCGTGGCACGACTGTGGGCTCTCGTGGGTGCGTGCAGCGGCAGCGGCGGCAGCAGCACGCAGGCTCGCGGACAAGCCCACGTTCTTCAAGATGGCCTTTAAGAATGTGAGAGCCCATCTAGGCTAACACCGAAATGCGGGAAGTAGTTATGCCAGGTCCAGAATGGGAAAAAAACAGGCTTTCCTTCATTCATTGGCCAACTTTGAGAGAGTCCATCCATCTACTCAACAGCTCACTCATATTTACTAACATCCAAGTTGAGTGGCAGAGGCAGTATATGTACATTCACTCAACACGTATTTATCAAGTTCCTCTCATGTACCAGGCCCAGGCCCCGGCGTGATACAGGGCGAGCAGAACAGACTCTGGAGTCTACTGCTGGGGGTCGGGGCAGAGGGAGCTTATAAAATCATCAACTAATAAATGCAGATTACAAAACCATGGAGAGGTGCTATGGGATAGAATAACTGGGTGACGCAATCCTTCCTGGGTCATCAGGGAGGGCTTCCCTGAGGAGGTGGCGCTAAAGCTGAGACCAGAGGGAGTAGAAGAAACCAGCCACAGGGGCTCCAGGCAGAGGGAAGAGCAGAGCAGGTCTGAGGCTCTGAGGTGGGAAAGAATGTGGCCTGTTTGAGGGATTGAAAGGTGGTGGGCTGGCTGGCGGGGTGGGGACCAAGGGCAGTGGCATCAGGTTGGAGACATGGGCCCACCACCTTCACCATGAGGACAACAGAAGCCCCCGGTGGTTGTGGTGGCCTGGGGTTGAGCAGAGGAATGTCACCTGCTCTCACATGCTTTGACAAGGTCACTTTGGCTACATGGTGTGGCGAAATAAGAAAGGAAAGAGGGAAAGCAGCAAGGGAGGAACTCTGAGAGTTCTTTGTGCAGTACAAGGCTGGGGTGTACTGGCAGACCGGATGCGGGGACAAGGGAGACCCTGGCACACGAGGACGGACCCCCAGGCTCCGGCTGGAGGGACAGCCTTGCGCTGCAGGGAGGAGGGGCCGCTGAGAGATCTGTGCCTGGGAGAGGTCCGTGAGGCGGCCGGCAGCAGGTGCGCACAGAGATCGCAGCTCCAGGAGAGGCGGAGGCTGGGGGATGGACAAAGAAGGCTCACGCACCTAACTGCCTCTGGCCTTTCCCCCTGGAGGTCTACCAGGTTTCCACCTCCAGCCTACCACATCTGAGACTCCTCTCCTTCCATCTGTCTGTCTCAGAAGTGGCAGCTGTGTGCTTCCGGCTGCTCGTGTGAAAACTGTGGGTTCCACCTTGGCTCTTCTTGTTCTCTCGCACACGTACCCAGCCATCGGGCGCTCTAGCAGACTTCGCCTTCTCAACAGAGCCAGTGCCCGAGCCCTTCTGCAACCACTGCCCACCCTGCTCCCAGGCCCACCTGGCTTTGATTACTGCCCATTTCCCTGCAGCCTGTTCTCCACAGAGCAGCTTATACATAAGATATGACTCTGCACTTTCGCCTCCAAGCCCGTTACTGTATAACTAACATCCTTGCTGGGACCCCAAGGTCCTACAGTTGGCCCCTGTCATTTCTCTGACTTTATTTGTTACAATTCCCCTGCAGCCCCTATTCACGTCACTTCAGTCACATGAGCCTTCTTACTTCTTGCTCCTGAAACATGCCAAGTGTGCTCCTACCTCAGGGCCTTTGACTGGGATGCTCCTCCCCCAGATGCCCTATTTCTTTTCCTATCCACTCAAATGTTTCTTTATCAGAACCCATCCTTGACTCCACAGTAAGAGCTCCCCATACCTATCTTCTTTTCTTTGTTTTATTTTTCTTCATAGCACTCATCGCTACGTGACATATCATATATTTGCTTACTGACTGTCCCTCCCACACTGGAATGTAACCTCCACGAGGGCGAGGGCTTTATTTTTATTTTCTTTAACTTCTCTTTCTATCTTCAGTGCCCAGCGCAGACATATAGAGCCCTCGACACCTATTTGTGGAATGAATGAATGCAGCCATGGATGGGTGCAGTACTGTCCCTGCCTCCAGGGAGTTCCAGTCTGGGTCTGGGATGTATACATCTACAAAGGCGCATGGAGGTACATAGCCATGCTGTGAGAGCAGGGCTGGCCCTGAGGCTAGCTAGGAGTTGGGAGGTTCCAGACAACCCAGGGGAAGGAGCCTTCCAAGCCTCTCCGAGGAACGCAGGTTTCTCTGGTGGGGCGCAGTTAGGATGGTGGCAGAGAAGGCAGGTGGCAGAGCAGGGAGGTGGCTCTGCATGGGACCGCCAGGCAGGCCCATGCCCTGAGCTTGAGTCAGAGAGGGGATGGTGGCTGCCAAGTCTCTTCCTCTTGTCCTTCCCCTCTTTCTGGCACCAAGCACTTCTGGGAAAGGGAGGATGGACCCACAGAGAGAGGGAGGAAGGAATACATCAAGCAAGCAAACAATTTTTAAAACTCAAGTTTGTGCTTGCTAAGCAATTTGGCCCTTTCTGACTAACAAAGAGGCTTTATCATCATCCGGGTCAGTTATTCTTCATGAAAATCCTACAAGGCAGGTCAATATTTTTACATTTAATTTTAGGGATGAAGAAACAGAGGTTTTTGATGTCTCCAAGGTCACAAAGCAAATAGGCTGAGACTTGGGACAATGAGTACAGGGACTGCAAAGCAGGCCTGACATCCCACGGCTGGTCTCTGGACCAGCTAAGCAGAAACCGTGCCCGGGCGGTGGGCGCTGGGAGCAGAGCGCCAGGCTGCTCCAGGTCTGGAGGACCATCGATGTGGATGCCCATGTGGTGAGAACCAGAAAGATGGCTCCAGGGAAGGGGCAGAGGGAAGACTCCACTGTGAAGGGACCCTGCTCAGGGGTAGAAGGAAGCCGAGACTTGGGAGTGGTGGGGACAGACACAGCTCAGGCCCTCCCTCCCCTGCCCAGGCCACTATGGCTGCCCTGGCCATGGTGAGCAACGGCCTCCTCCTGGCCAAGCACAGCAGACAGCTTCAGAGCCAACTTCTCAACTGCTTTGCTACCTCCTAGCCGCCATCATGTCTGTGTTCGGGTAGCACAGTGCTCAGCACAGGACAGACACTCAGAAAATGTCTGCTGATGGAGTAGATGAGCGGGCAAAGGAACCCTCTGTGCACTCCCAGGCCTGACACACTCAGATACCCCTTCTGGTCTTCTGAGCATCTGAAGCATAGTTTTCTAGCATCCTGAGGACTCTGTAGGGTACTATACTCAGAAGGACCTGGTCTCTGTTTTGGAGACTACTGAAAACCTCCAAAAGAAGTGGCTCAAGGTGGAAATCATAAAGCGTTCATCTCTGCTCTTCACAGCACCTTGCGTGGAATAGTGGTACCCAGCTAATGCTGGATTCCATGATTTTACCCCATGACCTGTACAGAGAGACCCTCAACATTGGTCAGATACCTACACGTGATGACGCTCTACAGACATGAGCAACCATTTAGGTGGCTAACAATGATCTCATTTTATAGACAAGGTAACTGAGGTCCCAGAGGTTAAGACATTTATCCACAGCATCCAGATCTGCCCACCATGAAAACCCAAATTCTTTTACTATATCATGCCATAAAAACACATCTACTCCACCATGGAAATCCAAATGAGTTACAAGCACTGTAGTGAGGTTCACTCACACGCGGGGAGTTCTTTGGCAGCATTCCTTCTGCGGGGTAAGAAATGGAGAGGCCCAGCAACATCAGAATACACTGCAAAGGAACAACAGTGTTTAGGGTCCTCCCGGCATTCTACGGAATCAACAGATGCTTCAAAGAAGTGGACAATAGCCTGCGCTTAGCAGTTTTTCTGATGTGCAGAGATTTTTGTAATAATGGTCCTGGCTGTAATGAGATTGGACCTCTATTACCCATTTTCGTTCCACTAATGAGCCTGGAAGCTCCTGGCTGTGCCAAAGGCGAGGGTCGGGGCCTTGCAACTTCATCATTACTTAATAAAATGTAAATCGGAGAGGAAAAGAAACACACAAGGTTTGACACTAATAAGCTTACAGCAGGATCAGTTACTTCAATTCAAAGAGGTTCAGACCGGAGGGGGAAAAATGAAATAAGCTTTTAAAGATCAGTCTAGGTTTGGCTCCATCAGACCTAACCAATTTTGTTTAATAAGGTTTCAATTTGGCTGCTCTTATTTCTCCCTCTTCTTCGAGCTAGGCCGGGTACAGATAAGGCATCCCCCCACCCACCCCAGCCTAATGCATTAATTGCCTCTCACACAAAAAGCCAAACTCGGGACTCTGCACTAGGAGAGAGCAGTGTGGGCCCCTGGGGGCAGCCAGCACCTCCCCTGCTGGTACAGACCCCGGCACCACCTCTGGGACTGCAGAAGAGACCACCACATGGATCCTGGGGACTCCATTCTTACCCACTTGTTTTTTAGAGAAATGAAAACCATCACCAAAGGTATGGGGAATCAAATGACATCAGAACCACCTGTGTTCCCACCCTGAAACTGACCGCTAAGATGTGTCACTCGTACTTCATGCTGACAGCAAGCTGAAGAGCTCTAGTCCCATTTCCCTCCTCGACTCCCTGCAATTACTTTCATGAATTCCTTATGTGTCCTTCTATTTTATACACTTTGACCCATGTGTGTGTCCCCGGATAGTATATATATTTGTTAGTTTATACAAATTGTCCCATATTATTGCTTCACTCCCACTTGCCTCCTTCCTTCTGTATTATGTTTCTGACATCTGTTCTTCCTAGGAAATAGAGATACTGATCTATGTATCTATTTAGCATATATTTATCTAGACAGAGATACGCTATCTCTGTACATATCTAGATGATTCTTTTTGACCACTGCGTGTTATTTCTTTGTAGGAAAGCTCCACCTTTTATCCATGCCGTCACCAATGGACACAAGTTGCTATTTTTGCTGCTAGAGATGATGTTGCAGTAACCGTTCCTATACACATGGCCCCGTCCACAAGCACAGCGTTTTTCTAGCATGGGTATCTGCGTGGAAGGCTGGCGTGGGGGCTATAGTCCAGTGTCGCCAAGTCTCACCGATTGCTTTCTGAAGTGGCCGGCTTCCACCCACACGGGCAGTGCAAACCCTCGCCAGCACTTGGTATTGCAGGCTTTTTAACTGTTGCCAGGCTGATGGATTAGGCATGGTGTCCCATTGCTGTCTTCATGTGCATTTCTAGGGCCAGGCTCCTCAGAATCTCTGCTGCTTCTAGTTCACCCAAGATAAACTGATGAAAGCCCCTTGTCTCCTGAGACCCTGCCAGGCCCCAGGGGCTTCATGGGCATGCTCCCGAGCCCACATGGCTCTTGGAGGTAGGAGCGATGCATTGGAGGGGCAGGGAGGAGATGAGGTAGAGGAGATCTGCCCCTCCTCGCTGTCCTGGCTCTCCTCCTAGGCTTCCTGCCCTCTGAGCACCGGTGCCAGGAAACGCAGTCCTGGCAGCACTCGACACACTTCTCCTCCCACCTGGCTGTGTCTCTGGGGAACTGTGCTGGCTGACCAAAGGTGGGATCTGTTCTACGCAAAAATTCCATTGGGGCCTCAACAAAAGACCAACTGGCCCCTGGGGAAAGAGGGGAGGGAGCCAAGGAGAATTTCCTCTCCGAGATCCCTGCTAAGAAATAAGGAATGCCCCATATGAAAAGGAAAAGAGGATCTTTAGGAGCCTGGGGGCCCACAGACCCCCAAAGACCCAATTCTAGGATTAGAGATGGAAGGGGGCTTTGCCTGTCTGCATGTCTGCCTGCTCTGGCTCTTCTCCTGGCCCTGGGCGCCCAGGCCAAGTTCCCACTCCTAGCAGGGCCCACATGCATCTTCCCCACCTGCACACCTCTCCCACCGAGACCAGCTCGGGGCACCCGCTCAGGGCCTTGGAGCACCCTACAATGTTCTTCATGGCACTCGCAGCACCTTAATCATTTCCACTATGTGCCTGTGCATTCTGTTGTTTTCTGTGGGGCTCCCGCGCCACATGGACAGCTGCCCACGCATAGGTTGGATTTATTTTGCTCACCACCGCCCTCCATGTGGCAGCCGGGGAGGAAGGGAATGGATTTGGTTTCCTACCACATGGCCCAGGAAAGGCCCCTGCTCCTCCATAGCGACCTCGCAAACAAACCCTGGTTATGAACCTCCCAGTCGCTGCAACAATGGAGAACCGTAAAAGTGACAAGGGGTCTGCCAGGAAGCTTTATGCTCCTCCTCCCAGCCACCCTCCACGCATTTGTCATCCCATAAAACTTTAAATTGAATTATACCAATGTTTGAGTCTTCTGTTTTCCATACAACTGGGGCTTTAATTGTTTTTAATGATATCCCTGGGCTCTTTGGGGGGTAAGGAATCCTTGGGAGGCAAGCCAAGGGAGCCAGCTCTGTCTTCTGGGCAGGGCCCAGAAAAGCCCTCTGTGGAGCTGCGAGCATGACCACACCTGTGCGGGTGAGCCTGCGCAGAGAACCCAGACGGGCTTGGGTCTCACAGGGTGGGTCCCAAGTCTCCCCTTTCCTTCAGTCCTCTGTGAGTGCTCCCCCCCTCCCCCATGGCCCCTGCTCCTGGGGGGGTACACCAGGCCCTGTGCTCTAGCTCTGAGCTTTGGGCAAGTTTCATGACCTTTCCAAGGCTCAGTTTCTTCATCAGTAAAATGGGGCTAATACAACCTAGGCCACGGGGCCTCTGTGAAAGATTTAAGGAGGTGGCATGCACCTACTATCTAGTGGAGCACTTGGAGAGTGCCAGGTCTTCCAGTGAACACGGTGGCCCCAGCCCCAACTCACGGTCCAAACCTCAGCCTCTGGCTTTTTCCTCATCCTTTAAAAGTTGCCATTGCCCATAAATGAGAAATCCTGAAATTCGTCTGCCCCACACCTACAGTTTCTTCCCATTCCTGGTCCCCATTTCCCACGCAGACTCCCCCAGCAGTCACCCCTTGCCCATGTTTCTGCCAGGTCACCCGCCTAGTATAGAGCCCGGGTCATACAATGCCCTTGCTCAAGCCCGCCCAGGCTCTGGGTGTCGCGTTCACTCTCTGGCTGGCACTCAGCCCACCCTCCTCTCAGCCTGGCCTCCTTCCATGTCGATGCCCCGGCTCACTCTGAGCCTCTGCTCCTGCTTATTTATCCACCTTTCACAGTGGGCATTCTTCAGGGTCTGCTGCCAATGTCATCACCTGCATTCCCTCAACACACATACTAGTAGCACCTGCTACCAGGCAGGCCCTTCACTTGACCCTGGGGACATAGGGGAAGCCATGGCCTTTGCCCTCTATGACTCCACACTCACTGTGGGGAGCAGGTGTATAAAGGGCTATTTAGAACACAGTGTGTTGAGTGCCACTAGAGGGGCTCAGGGGGCCTGCAGAGAGAGGAGGTGACATCTGAATTGGATTTTGAAGGATGATGCCATGCAAATGAGATTAGGAGAGACAGAATGGGTGCATGGGGAAGGGGTTGTGGGGAAAGTGCAAGGAGGTGCCAGCAGGTCTGGGCAGAGTTCTATGGGGTAGGGTTCAAAACAAGATGAAGCTGATGCTGGGGCAGGGCTCTGAGGGGGCAGCAGCCCCTTCTCCCCATCTGTGCATCTTGTCCTGATGAGGCAGGGTCTGCCAATACAGAAGGGATTCAGGAATAGCCCGTGGAACGGAGTTCCAGGAAAAGCAAGGCTGGGGTTCTCACTTCCCGATACCTCCCAGGGAGAAACCTGCGCACGTGAGCACAAGATAAGATGGTCACCACGGCACAGGTAACAGCCACGGAGACCGGGCAGTGGGCCAAGAGTCCATCCATGGCACATGGCAGTGGGCAGTATGGAATGTCCATGCTCACAAATGCAGGCACTGTCAGGCTCTGTATAGAGTGACGGGGTGAGGCCAATATTGGGCAAAAACAGAAAAAGTGCAAAAACCCCACGACATGCTACATTTACAAAATGGCATCATGTATTTTTACGTATACATATGTATTGCATAGAGAAGGGTTTTGAAGGGTACACTCAAAAGAATTAACAGGCGCCTCCTCTACACCAGAGGCCAGGATGGGGTGTGACAGAACAGGCCCTTTCCCCTTAACTGAAAAGTTTCACTTTGGGGACATGCAGGCATTCATAAACTGGTTATATAATTAAAAATTAATTCTTTAAAAATAAAAGACAGACATTCTAGTCAATTAAATTTAATACAATCAGGTTCCAATCAATTCACTCAACGAAGACTGACAGTTTGCTCTGAGCCAGACTCTGTGAGGGTGCTGGGCCAGGAGGAGCAGTAAAGGGAGGTGGGCAGGGTGGGAGGGGCCCCAGGAGAGTAAGACACACTCCCTGGTCTCCCTGCTGAGTGCTGTAACCCCAGACTTGAGTCTCGCCTTCCCCAACAACACCCTGAAGCTACAGCGGCAGGACGAGAAGCCAGCAGGCCCCCTAACTAAAGCCTGGCCCAACCTCCCTTCTCCACATGGGAAGACACTGGGGACTCTGCTTGAGGCAGCTGGCATAGAATGGGAGACTCTCTCATTTCTCCTGAAACCTGGAAACAGTCATGCCACCTGCCAAGAGGGGGAGGACAAAAGAGATAACACAAGGCTCTGAGTTCCTACAAAATAAAAGGGAAAAGTGGCACAACGGGGGATGCAACCACTCTGAACAACCCCAGCTCCATGCAGCACCCAGACCAAGAGCCAGCTAGCAGGAGGGGTGACCCCAGGCCAGGC